GCTTTATTATCATGAATGCATAAAATTGTCCCAAAAAAGGCACAAACCTTCAGTAGTTATGGAGATAACATGCTTACAAGCAAAACTTTACCATTAAATTCTCAAGTTGAAAAAAAGGGGGAAAAAATAAGCCTAAATTCTCGATAAAATTATGGATCTTGGTCAGTAACCTACATGTACAATTATGACCCTAAATGCATGTGAAGTTTTAATATTGTAAGCAGAGTTATCCAACTTGTCAATCTGATGTACATTGTTACTATAAAATAACTATTGTAAGTTTCAATTGAATATCTCAAGCAATAATTGAGATATTTGACTTTAAAATAAACTTAAACCAACGCAGACGCGGACGCTGGGTTACTACAATAGCTCTCATATTTTTTTCAAATAGTCGAGCTAAAAACTACCAAGTCATGGTTGAGACCATATAGTTATTCCATATATAAATATATATGTATATATCATGGAAAACATTTCAAGATGTTACAATGGATTGTAGTGTATAACAAGAAAATCAGTGTACTTTAACTTTAATCCAATAATCATAACAAAACATCTGTAAATAACTGGAAACAAAATATTTCTTAAATAAAACCATACAAAACAAGAGGGCCATGATAGCCCTAGATCGCTCACGCTGACTTATCAAACTCATCCAAACAATTACCTAGACAAACATTCTGACCAAGTCTCACGACAGGTGAGTCAAAAATGTGACCACTACAGTGTTAACAAGGATATCCATATTTGAGCAGTGCGACCTTGTTTTTTACTCAGGTGACACATATTCAAACTTGACCTAGAAATCATCAAAACAAATTGTCAGACCAATTTCCAGGATTACTTGGATCAAAACAGTAGCAACAAGAGTGTTAACAAGATTTTTCTATTTTTAGCTCCGGTGACCTAGTTTCACATGCGATTTCGAACTCATCCAAGCAATTACTAGACAAGCATCCTGACCAAGTTTGATGATAATTGAGTCGAAAATGCAACCAGTAGAATGTTAACAAGGCTTTTCCATATTTGGACGGTGTGACCTAGTTTTTCATCCAAAGATGAACCATGTTGGATCTTGACTTAGAAATCATCAAACAAACTTTTAGACCAATTAACAGAATATTAGGATCACAACAGTAGCCACTAGAGTGTTAACAAGATTTTTCTATTTTTATCTCCTGTGACCTAGTTTTTCATCCGAGATGTCCCATGTTCGATTTATTCCCAGGCAAGTTAGGCAAGTTTCCTGACCAAGTTTGCTAACAATTGAGTCAAAATTGTGACCACTAGAGTGTTAAAAGAAGGTTTTTCTATTTTTAGCTCCTGTGACCCTAGTTTTTCATCCGAGATGACCCATTTCCGAACTCATCCGAGCTATCACCTAGACAAGCATCTTAATCAAGTTTGATGATGATTGATGCAAAATGTGACCACAAGAGTGTTAACAAGGTTTTTCTATTTCTACCCCAGGTGACCTACTTTTTCATCCCAAGATGACCCATGTTCAAACTCATCCGAGCTATCAACTAGACAAACATCTTGACAAAAGTTTGATGATGACTGATGCAAAAAGGTGACTGCTAGAGTGTTAACAAGGTTTTTCTATTTTTAGCTCCGGTGACCTACTTTTTCATCCAAGATGACCCATGTTTGTACTCATTCGAGCTATCACATAGACAGCATCTTGACCAAGTTTGATGATGATTGATGCAAAAATGTGACCGCTAGATTGTTAACAATGTTTTTCTATTTTTAGCTCCGGTGACCTACATTTTCATCTGAGATGACCCATGTTCAAACTCATCAAGATATCAACTAGATAAGCATCCTGACCAAGTTTGATGATGATTGATGCAAAAATGTGACTGCTAGAGTGTTAACAAGGTTTTTCTATTTATAGCTCCGGTGACCTAGTTTTACATCCTAAATGACCCATGTTCGAACTCATCCGAGCTATCAACCAGATAAGCATCCTGACAAAGTGTGATGATGATTGGGTCAAAAATGTGACCACTAGAGTGTTCACAAGGTTTTCTATTTTTAGCTCCTGTGACCTAGTTTTTCATCAGAGATGACCCATGTTCAAACTCATCCAAGCAATTGACTAGACAAGCATTCTGACCAAGTTTGATGATGATTGGTTTAAAAATGTGACCACTAGAGTGTTCACAAGTGTTTCTATTTATAGCTCCTGTGACCTACTTTTTTCATCAGAGATGACCCATGTTCGAACTCATCCGAGCTATCACCTAGGCAAACATCCTGACCAAGTTTAATGATGATTGGGTCAAAAATGTGACCTCTACAGTGTTCACAAGGTTTTTTTTTTTTAGCTCTTGTGACCTAGCCTTTCATCCGAGATGACTCATGTTCGAACTCATCCATGCTTTCAACTAGATAAGCATCCTGACCAAGTTTGATGATGATTGAGGCAAAAATGCGACCGCTAGAGTGTTCACAAGCAATTGTGGACGGACAACGGACATTCACAGATCCTTAAAGCTCACCCTGAGCAAGCTCAGGTGAGCTAAAAACCAAAAAACTGATGATGACAGAACGGGTATCACTTTATGCCTATAAAATTTTTTTTGCTCAAGTGATTTTTTTTTCGAAGAGCTACATGTGAAATTGCTGCCAAATATACATAAGTAAAATCTATTTCAAAGCTGCATGCATTCATATAAATATATTTAAAAAAAATCAAACTTGATTAAATAAAAAAAAAGTTCAAGGATAGCCCAAACTTGTTAATTATAAAAAAAATATATATACAGAATATTATGTTGTAGTAGCTCTCTGAGGCTTTTTATTTTGCTATGAGCAGCGGTGGGAAATTGATATCTTGCGAGACTAAAGGGCGAGCTAGATAACAATTTTCCAACATTGCAAGAAGAAAATGCATAGCCTCAGAAAGCTACTACAACATAATTTTCCTTTAATAATATACCTTTTCGTTTGAAGTATAAATGATTTTCATTATACTACACTTATATAAGAAATTTCAGAAAAAGAAATGTAGCTGTCAAGAAATAAATTATGACTGACAGATGAATACGTAATTTGTGCAAAACCAGCCACACCTTTTATTATTTTGGTTGCCGTTTCCATATACTATGTTATACACAGCTAAGATCAGAACCAACATTAACAAGAACGGTTGAACCGGGTGATGCTCCCCCGAGAAGGTTCTGGACACTGGAAAGTATAAAAAAAATGAACAAAGGGCAAAAACCCCAAAATTAGGCAAAGAGGAGTTATGTTTTTTTTTGCACTGCACTTCTATTCAATTAGATCTATCCATCTATAAAGTTGCCTGATGATATCAGAGTTATGTCCAAGGTAAAATTCAAAGTGTAAAAATGAAATTAGGGTAATAACTCCAAAATTAGACCAGCCTTTCTTTAGGTTCTTTAAGCATTGCAGTTCTATCCAATTATATCTAGCTACCTACAAAGTTTCATGTTGATATTTCTAATAGTTTTAAAGTTATGTCTCGTACAAAAGTCAAAAAGTAAAAATAAACAAAGGGCAATTACTTCAAAATAAGGCAAGGCAGAGTAATAATTCTTAAGCACTGCTTAGAGTAATGTCCCGGACAAAGTTCAAAGTGCCAAAATGATCAAAGGGCAATAACTCCAAAAGTAGGCAAGACAGTGTTACAGTTCTTGTGCACTGCAAACTTACTCAACGATATCTATCTACCTACAAAGTTTCATGTTGATATCTCTTTTACATTGAGAGTTATGTCTCGGACAAAGTTCAAAGTGTAAAAATAAACAAAGGGGGATAATTCAAAAATAAGGCAAGGGAGAGTTAAGGTTCTTGTGCACTGCTTACCAACTCATTGAAATCTATCTACCTACAAAGTTTTCATGTTGATACCTATTATAGTTTTAGAGACAAAGTTCAAAGTGTAAAATAAAGAAAAGGGGATAATTCAAAAATTAGGCAAGGCAGAGTTACGGTTCTTGTGCACTGCATACCAAGTCAATGAGATCTATCTACCTACAAAGTTTCATGTTGATACCTCTTATACTTTTAGAGTTATGTCCCGGACAAAGTTCAAAGTGTAAAATAAACAAAGGGGAATAATTCAAAAATTAAGCAAGGCAGAGTTACGGTTCTTGTGCACTGCACACCTACTCAATTAGATCTATCTACCTACAAAGTTTCATGTTGATATCTCTTATAGTTTTAGAGTTATGTCCCGGACAAAGTTCAAAGTGTAAAATAAACAAAGGGGAATAATTCAAAAAATTAGACAAGGGCAGAGTTACGGTTATTGTGCACTGCACACCTACTCAATTAGATCTATCTACCTACAAAGTTTCATGTTGATACCTCTTATAGTTTTAGAGTTATGTCCCGGACAAAGTTCAAAGTGTAAAATAAACAAAGGGAATAATTCAAAAATTAAGCAAGGCAGAGTTATGGTTCTTGTGCACTGCACACCTACTCAATGAGATCTATCTACCTACAAAGTTTCATGTTAATACCTGTTTGTTGTTTCAAAGTTAAGTCCCGGACAAGAAAAGGGGATGGACGGACGGACAAGGCGGCGACTATATGCTCACCCGAAATTTTTTGGGGAGCATAAAAATAGTCCAGGCCTTTCATATATGGTACTGTATTTGTCTCTAACATAATACAGAATTTTCTAACCGTTGAAAACTATTTGCGCTTCAAGATAATCCTGTGTTTTAGGAAGAAATTTATAGGTATATAATAAATGCTGTCATTGACATTTCTTATGCTTATATTTATTATATGTATTTCTTGCAATCCTATTTATAGCTACAAATTCTATGAATTAAAATAGAAATGAAGGTAGCATGCAGACGGTGTTTGATATTGTGTGATAAAAATTTAAAGATCATTGGAAATCATCCCAGTAACCGAATACTCTAAATGACCGAGTACTCGAGTATTGATTTTAGTAATTGTTGCCATCCCTAAAAAAATAAGTACTTGACAAGATCAACTAACATCTAAAAAAAACTTTGAAAACAGAATTAATTATTTTGAAAAATTCACTCTGAGCTGTATTATTTAAAATGGGTGTTCAAACACATTGAAAACATTGATAATTCATTTCATGTTCTTGGTGATGAAGTGGTGCCTCAATATAGTTATCACTGCATTCTATCTTCCCTCATAACTCCTACTATTACTGTATCTGTCAAACAAGCATCTCTGTTTTCTGAAATAGAGTTTTGAAAAAAGTTTATTGCTGACCGAGATATTCATACTTGTATGTTAACTTTTTTTCAGCATCTTTCTGTTAGAATTACTCTGATTTATAAAGGTATAAAACCAAAAAATGCGCGACCAATGCCAGAGCTCAACCCTCTGATCAGATTTCACAAACGAGCATCTGAGTAGAACCACCGCCTTTTTTTAAAGCTAGCTGGATTGCTTTCTCACATTAAAGAATCCATATTAAATATAATAGAACATTGATAATTGCTACACAGTCTCTTTGTAAACATAAAATAAGCATGTTTTGTGTTTACATAAAGTAGCTATGTAATGTTAAAACACCACATGCTATAGTTGGTCACAATATAAATATATAGTGTTGTTAGGAAACTGACAGTTTTTTTAAGAAGGACCAAATTTTTTTTTTGTCTCGTAAGAAGGAACATGGCTTCCAATGCATAGTTAATTCATTCAAATTAGACATATTCAAAAAGAATTGCATAGAATTCAATACATTTTCATGATTAAAATATTTTACTGATGAGCATAGTATATCTTTAAAGGTAAGTGGTTTAGGTGCATTACTTTGACTATGGTCACCCCAATTAAATCTATTTATTTGCTTAGTAACACAACTTTTTTAAAGTCATATAAATTTGTAAATGAGAGTGATTCTGATAATCTATATACAGCTAAGTCAAGATGAGATGATTAGGTTTTACTGACTGCTTACTACATGAAGTCACTATTTCAATGTCAAATGCCTTGAGGTGAAAGGAATGAAAACTTGAATTTCAAAAATACAATTTAAGTGAATTACATGTCACAAATGAGCCATGTCATGACAAAACCAACATAATGGGTTTGCGACCAGCATGGATCCAGACCAGGTTGGTCTGATCAGGATCCATGCTGTTCGCTTACAAACCTTATTACAAGTAGAGAAACTGATAGCGAACAGTATGGATCCTGATCAGACTGGGCGGATGCCCATTATGTTGGTTTCGTCATGACACGGCTAAAATGTTTTTGCTATCGACTTTTGTTCCTAAATTAACAACAGATTGCATAATGAAAAGATATTGAAATAATTAATATACAATTGGCTCTAAGTGCCAAGCTTACAGATTTTAAATAAACTTTGAGCCCTGTGTTGGCCTTTAAACATGTCAAACATTTAGAAAGTATTTATTAAGGAAAAGTGTATACAAATAATCATGTACCTCTTCATTATATGCCCATGACATTGAAAAAACATTGTGTCATCTGTTTACTTCAAGTGAAGGTTAGTCACATTGACAGTATCACATTTTAGACTTCATCTCTCGTGATTCCATTCATAAAAAGCATCCTCAAAATGGGTCCTCTTAATTTCACATTCATCAATCTGACAAAAACCTCCTGGAAAAGAAGTTAGAAACATATGCCACTAATTATGTCAGTTAATGTCAAATAAATACTTTGAGAAACTATTTGGTCAAAATTGTAAATATACAAAGATTTTCAAACCAAATATAAATATAACAATGAACATTTCCTTTTTAACTTTCTAACATATATAATGTATGGTCTTACTTGAAGAAAATGTTTGCCCGTGTGACCGAAAAAGGGATTAAGGACCATTACTATTGTTTTTCCTTTTGTTTATTAAAGGGCCATGGCCCCATATTCTATTGTTATGGAATGAATTCTATTGTTCTCTTTTGTTATGCTACAGTAAGATGGATATATATATCAAAGTCAGAAAAAAGCTAACATGTTTTTACCTTAATGGCCTGTATAATTATGTTTTCACAGCTTCTCAGCAAACAACCAACTGAGCCACAATTGAAATCTAACAAACAAGCCTTTATTCACAAACCTGAAATAAAAACTTTTCCTAATCAATACAATAGTTCTTTTAATTTATTACATACTTCATTGAAACATTAAGAAATATTGATAAAGTAAAATGCTCATTTTCATTTCCTGTATTTTCAATGTAATTATTCATTTTTCATTGCGTATTTTCACAAGTGTCTCCTAAATTTAGCCTATACACAATAGACTGTAAAGAATAATAGGGCAATTTCTTTATAATTTCAAGTATTTATAGTCGAAACAGTCCTTTTTAAAGGCATATATATGGGTAAGTTGAATGTTGCATGTCCAGATATGACTGACTAACAATAATTATTGTAAAAGTGAGTAATAATTGTCGGAATCATAGCTCAATCAGTAGAGAACATAGCTCAAGGTTACCAGATTTCAAAAAAAAAAATTATTAATTTTGTTCTGACATGTCAGGAACAACTTAGACATGTCAGGAACAACTTGAAATTTAAATGAGTTTTTCGTTTGATTGATTTTTGTTACCTATCTTACTTTTTCATTGAAGTATCTTTACCTTCTTAAAAATTATGCCCAAATCTCATTTCTTTTTTTTTTTTTAAACTTCTTTTCATGAATTTAATATGAATATTTTCAACAGATTTTAAAATAATCAAAATACAACACTGTTAAGCATATATAACTGTTGTCAGGATTAAGTTTTGTTTCATCAAAAAAAAACTTGAATAGAAAATAGAACAGTTTCCACCTGTAGTTTGGAACCCACTAACTGAATTCACTTTTATATCATATTATGCAGTCTTAAACTTATTTCACTAGTAAGTCAAATGATTTATTATCTCAAACAAATGTAATTACATGTAGTATAAGTTTTATGGAAATAATGTGGTTAATCACTTGCAGTTAATCAAGGCTTGACAAATCCACTTGTCTGCTCATAAATGATAAATACGAGTAAAAATGACTCTGGACAAGTTAATCTCCCAAAAAATGCCCGTCCTGCAGGACGTGTGAAATTTCTAGCATAAATTAATCAAATTTCAATTCAATTCTTTTGAAACCATTTTTCAAGTTTTACTAGTAGGACAGAGCACAAAATAATTCCCCTGTGTTTGATGGGCAAAACTGATGTTGATTTGTTGAATGCAACGCTTAATTCTGTCTGATTCTATTTTGTAAAAACTTACTAAAAGCCTGTGCGGCGATTCCAGTATGTTCCACAAAATTTTTTTAAAATGTCACAATGCAATATTTGGCAAATGTTTAGCCAGAAAGAAGTAAGTTAAACAGTGTCTTCAAAAAAAGAAAAAATGTCTTCAAAAAAGAAAAATGAGTCAGAACATGTAGGAAATTTATATTTTTTAAGCATTGTTGTTGTTGTTGTTTTTTCGTTTTTCAATCCCTGATATATTATTTGTAGTATTTGTAACTATTATCTATTCTATTTGTAATAGAACAGCATTTTTCCCTTATAAAACTATTTACATTCCCAATAAAAAAAAGACAGCAAATTTTTCAAATGTTTTATTTTTAAAGTCCCAAAATTACTGTCAAAATTCCCATCCAAAATTGGCATATATAAAATGGATGATTTCATATTGATAAGTAGTATGTGATAAAAACCAAGTATAACTACATCTGACAGAGCAATATTTGTACCTAGTTCATTTTATACTTCCGAACATTATTTATGTACATGTACTCATTTTTTTCACTCCAATAAGAAATCAATATATTATGCATGGTTTAACTTTAAATGTGTATAAATATTATGCATAATTCTCATGTCTCCTGGATAAAATTCTAAATTAACCATGTGGCATGAATACCTGTCAGTTATGTAGTATCAATTTGAGTCAAAACGCATTTTTCCCAAAAAAAAATTGTACTGGTAGCGTATAGATGTTACACAGAACTAAGCAAATGTCAGGGTTTTTCAATGCTAATCCCCAGTGTAAATATAATTATAACCTTACTCAAATTTATTAAAATGAGGGGTGAAGTGTCTGCAAAAAAGGGCCTAGGGTGAAGTGTCTGGGGGGTGAAGTGTCTGTAAGCCGAAGTGATGGACAAGGCAAGACATGTCGATTTTTTTTAGCTTATTATGAAGTTGCAGTACATGAGAGACTGGCACATGATGAATCAGCACATAAATAAAACAATCTAGTGTTCTGTGGTTTCTAAGTGTCATACCTCAGCTCTTTTCCTTATTACAATGAAATTTTACATGATTGTTATCCACCGCTGGTTTGTTTTAAGCAGTGAATGATAGGTACCGTTTCAGCAGATTTCGCAAAGAGGGTACAAATATGGATTATGCACCGTGGATCCAGTTCATTCTTTGAGAAAATGTAATGAGACATCATTACTGAACTTGTATATTTTTTATTTAAAAAAGCTGTAAGGTAAGCATCAACAATATGTATACGCTAGATGTAAATAACTCACCTCCAAAAAATATATAAAAAAAAAATGGGTCAAAAATGTCTGGGTAGGAAATGGTTTGAGGGAGGACTTTCAAGGGAAGGAACTGCTAAACTTAAAATTTGATAAGGTCAATTCAGTACAAAAAAGCTTTACCCGATAATGGCCGATTGTGAAGAAAATTTGTAAAAAATACAGCTTTTGATTGCAACTTAAATATCAACGTTATGAAATATAAACAATGAACATCAGTCATCTTGAATAACGTTGTATTTAAAGTCATATCCGGTATTAAGTCCTTGTATTTTTTGTAAGCAACCAGAATCGCCAACGTTTTGACGACGATTTCGCCACTGATAAATGGATAAATGCAAAACAAGCAAAGTTATACAACATTTAGGTAAATGGGAGATAAGGTTTTTGTAAAATAAAACTTACAACTCGTTTTTAACACGTGGAACTTCTATATAAACTTCTCAATCTTTCACGGATGAACTTGTAAACAATGGCGATTGCGGTAAAATGACGTAAGGGCGAAAAATAGTTCGTATTCATACGCATGCATTGTTTTTTCTTAAATTTACACTTATGAAGCATTAGGCCCTATAAGCTTTAAAGTTAGCTGATCTGAAATCCGTATTCCATTACTTGCTAATTTTTTGAGTTCTATGACACTTAATTAACTTGTGACTACATGTAATTTGTACTATATTTATGCAAGTACTTTGGCTATGATCGACCGCTGGCGTAGTAATATTAAAATCGCGTAAAGCAAAAATATACATACAATTTTAAAAGACGATTGCTAAATTTAGTACAAAATTGGCCAGTCAATTTTAAAATAGATAGGGAACTATGATTTTGGAGTTACTGCGAAGTTTTGGAACTATTTTGCTTAGCGTAGGTAGCTGACTAATTGTGTTCACATCATAGTAAATCTGAATTTGTCGTTATTACATTGGGGGCGCATTGCGCATGCGCCCCCAAAAACGATGACTGCATCCAAGATGTACCAGATAAATATCATTATTGATATGAGGGGCATCGGTTGAGAATTTTTAGGCAGATTGTCACTTACAATGGTCATGTAGACAGAAATTGCAAGTAACATTGTTATTGCATAGCCCACTCTCTCCCCGGATTTCTTCGGTAAGACAAATACTAATGGTGTTAATGTAGCTAAAACGATTATGGGCAATAAAATGTTGATCAACAGAAACAATGGTTTCCTTTCAAATACCAGATTGATTTTTAAACCACCATTCTTTGTTGTAACACTTGTGTTTAGTAATCGCCAGGAACCATGGTTAGCATCTTCTTCAGAAAACGATTCATGCATAGAGACGTCTAACCTGAACCAAAATTGTATAAATCCGACCAAGGTAAGCATAACAGAACACGACTGGACGTCAAAAGGAAAGTAGGTCATGTCCAGATCACATGTTGTCCGTGTTGTCATCATTTCATCATAGTATGCCTTCCCAACACTGTTATACAGGACAACATCCTATATTAAGTGAAAGAAACAAAATGCAACAATTGAACCAAATCGTTTGAAACTAACTTTTATTGTAAACTCTATCAAGAAAACATATATTACATATTCAATGGTGACATTTTGTTGTTTTTTTATTGCAAAAATAACTGCATACATTAAACTTGAACATGAAAATGACCCAATATCTGAAACTCTCTTATCTAGCTTAAAAGTTGATACAAATACTTCGAAATCAACGAAGTTCGTTTATCAAAAATATCTATGTAATGTTATTTTTTATCCTTAGGATCATGTTCTGTCATGTGATTTGATTAAAATCATCGAAACAAGCAGGAGAAACAGAAAATACTTAACCATGAGCTCGTTTGTAATGACATAAGACTTCCTACAATGCAGTTCTTAGTCAATATTTACATAAATTCCATATGGTTCATTGAAGACATCACCCTTTTCAAAGCAGGGGTCTATAAAGTATGAATTCTACATCACTATTCTAACAGTTATTCGTCTTTATTTGTAAAAAAGTATGTGGTTATTGATTAAAGTTTTGTCATAAAACATAAATGAATTCAGTACATTAAACTCACATATGATCGGTCCACACTCTGGCTTTTTGAGACATCGGCATGGGGATTACCCACTCGAAAGATTGGCGTCCATACTTCATTGTAGCTTAAAGTTATATAAGAAGCGTTGGTCTGATTCTTATCCCAGTTAATATTCTCATCTAACCACTGTAAATTTTAACATTCAGTGAGAATAATAATAATGATGGTGGTGACATTTAAAGTACAGTGTATATAAAAGACAAGTTATCTTTTAGTAATGTTACTAAAATATATATTTATTGTATTTTAGGTAATCAATTTATGTTTGCTATCTCTATAATGTTTTCATATTTAAGGAAAATTTTGTCAGTTATATAGGTTGCTAGCGACTCTGGTCATAGTGATGTAAATTATGAAACAAGGTAAAAATCTCTGTCGGCATATGATGTCACTGAAATTAAACCCTACACGCTTTAGGTCTTGGTTTAACATAGACACATAATTTATCATACTGCGCCGAACAATATAATATGAAAGCCAAAATAGAGTTGGTACAAATGAGATAGTTAAAATACAGGTAAACTTCCTTTAAGTAATCGTTCAGGGTTTTGGATGGAACCGACGCAAAAATTGAGAAAAGCTATTTGCAATATAAAATACTGTGAAACAAATGAATGCCCAAAACGGCAAAAGCGAAAATGTTGCAAGCTAGATTTGACTGAGCCTGTTCATGGACGGCATTGATAATTACCAGCTTCCGTCTAAGCTTATTGAATTTACAATATATATATATATATATATATATATATATATATATATATATATATATATATATAGAGAGAGAGAGAGAGAGAGAGAGAGAGAGAGAGAGAGATTTGAAATAGCTATGCACCTTTAAGTGTTGAGAATTGAGTACCGCTCAAGCCGGTGCTCGGGGCCGTGAGGCTCAGACTTAATTAAACCGAGTCTGCAATTTTCATATAATTTTGCCTTTTCATGCTTCCGGGGGATCACTTTTTTTACTAGATATTCATTGTTAAGAAGTATTATGCGAACTTTTGAGACAAACCTTGTTTATGACAAAGTTAATGCAATTTATACGAAACTTTATTTAAATTACATGAAATTGTGTAATACTAAGACACATGTTTTTATAATAACACGATGAAAAATAATAATATATTTAGTAGTACTAATATTCTATTCCTGGTAAGAATTATCATGTAAATAACAATACTCATTGTTCTATGAAAAATGTTATATATCTTGTCAAATGTGATAAATGTAAAAGAATATGTTGGTCAAAGGAAGCAATAAGTGTCTAAACGCATGAGTAGCCATAGATTTGATATCAACAATTTTTCCGATCCGTTCTTTTCCACCAATTTCGCTACACGTTTTAATAAAAGCAATCACTGTGTAAGGATTTTAAATTTATGCCTAAAGAGATTGTCTCCGGTGATAGGGAACGCTTATAACAAGAATCATGATGGATTCATAAGCTTAACACATTATCTCCTTATGGTATGAATGCAAAAGTTTTGTACAATATAACGCTGTCATTTTTCAATCATAATATTGGGCCGGTATACATATACATGTTTTATGTTTTTTTCATGTCAAGGTTTTTTATTATTATTAATTATGAAATTTTTTGTATCACATGTGTAGATCTATATTATATTTGTAATTTATTGTATATTGATGTATTTATCTTCATGAAAGATTCTGTATTTATCTGACAAAGTTTTTTTCCCCGCGTTAACGTCACGTTCTGTTAAGCGTATATTTAAACGGACGTTGCGTCATTTGTCTGTTACTGACCTTCAATTAAGTAAAGAAAAGAATGCCTCATAATAAGTATATAGTCAATTTTGTCAGAATTTGTTTGGCACTTTAGACACAATGCCTAAACTTACTACATACAAAGTTATAAAAAGAAGTTTTGATATTGAAAAATATTTGTTATGTGTTAAGGTGAATAGGCATAGAATAACATTATCTAGACTGTGGTGCTCTGCTCATAAACTTGCAATCGAAGAGGGTCGTTATCGAAACATTGATAGGTCGGATAGGAAATGTATCTTTTGTAACATGAATGTCATAGAAGACGAATAAAATTTTGTACTTGTCTGTCCGTTTTATCGTTCTATTAGAAATGAATGTCTCTCAAAATATTATTGCCATTGGTCAACTTTTCAGAAATTTCAAACACTGTTAACTTGCAGTCAATCTGGTTTGTTATGTAAACTTGCTACATATGTCTTTTTGTCTGATAATAAACGTACTAGTCTTATTGCTCAGTAGTAATGTCATAGATGTAAGAAACATTGGTGATGTAGTCATAAAGTAATGCTGCAGTAATTTTTGCTGCATACATACAATTGTTTATAAGATAAGCACATAAGTATAAGGGAGGTCACTTCTACAATATGATGCATGAATGTAAAAAAGAAACCAGAATGCCACCATTCGTTTTAGCCTTTGTTCTATATGTACATTTAAATGTGATCAATAAGTAAATCGTTCTTATTCTTCTTTTTTTATACTATACAGTAACTTTGTTGAAGTAGCATAGCTTTAACTAATTATATAAAACACCGGCTTATGTAGGTGGCTGAAATGATAATTTTAAAGTAACCAAGTTTAAATGAATATCCAAATGTGTATACATATTTCACAGGTTTAATATCTTTTTACTGACCTATTTGGAGCCGGTGTGTACAGATATTGGTCGACATACTTAATTTTACATATTTTAATGTAAATTGATTATGTTTGTTTATATATTACCATGCTTTTCTCGAATACATATTAAAGGCGACGAACAATTAATGTTCATATGCTGATTAAAGAATTGAATTGAATTGTTATTTTATAAACGTCATTTTTTCTGTAGAAGACTAAACCTTGAAAGCTAAAGAACAGCGTTTGTTTTCATTGAACTGATTATATAATAACACAATAAAACATATTATACTTACATTAAAATTCATCCAGAAAACTGATGACAATTTTTCTTCTAATTCATCAATTTCACCAAGTGATAAGAGATCTACGTGAACGGTCACATTAAATGGCTCTGTCTCGGATGGGACAATATGTTTACTATAATTTTTCAACAAATCTTCAGACATTGCTTTTATAAGTTGTGTCTTTGGTAGACCTCCAACAGCATTAGTAAACTGGTAGCACAGTAAAACTAAAGCTAGGATTCGTGTAAGCAACAATGCCATCTTCCCTAAAAAATAATTAAACAATGTATATGTATTCTGTTAGTAAAAGCAAATATAGTTTAAACGTATTCTAATTATGCTATATGAAATAGATGTTTGTTATAATCATGTTCTGTCCTGAGAATAAAAACCATATTTTAGTTGCAATATTTTGTTTCCATACTTTGAATATGCTTTAAATATCGTACAATATGGACCAGAAACGTTAGATCAAGATAGTATCTTAAATAAACAGTAAATTTAGACCAAAGTAGCAAGGACCGAAAAGGAAAAGTTATCAATAACTTAAAACCACTCAAAACATGATTTAGTTAATTGAAAAATCAATTAAGCATAATATTAAAATTAGCACCATACCCAACACTAAACTATTCATTATAGCAAAATATGCAAGTTGACGCTCCTGCACTTACTCCAATATGTATATATACACCACCAAAATTTAAAATATTACTGTCGAATGTTAAGCAAATGCGATCTAGTTTGATAAAATATGTTTGTAATGTCTTTATAACTTTACATCTTTTGTTAGTTATTTGGTACCAGTTATAACCTTGCAAGAATCTGTTCTGATGATCCTTGATTAATTTCTTTATTCTTTCTTCATACGATTTTTGACTGATATTTTTATTTATAAATTTTCTTTTAGGTGAATGAGTGGCTGAAAAAAGCCCAACTTTGTATCTTCTACTTATCAACTCGAAGATATGACCCTTTATCCGCTAATTGATTCGATATAAAAGTAAATCGACATTGTATCATAGTTTGGGGACCTTTCTGTTGAAAATGCGTCAGAGTTAAATCGTATTAGTTACCCGCCATCCGGAGCACGCCCATTGATTGGTTCATTTTTGCTGGGGTTTACTTATTGTGACGGCAGAGAAACGAAACGCGACAGAAATATGATATTCAGATGCTCGTTCATTGGTTACCTTTTGTATACATTGCTTGCATTTATCCTCGATAAAAGTAGATCCTCATTTTGCAGGATTGTCACATTAAGATCACTTTTTATTAAAATATTGTTTGCATAGTGATAAATAAGCTTTGACAGTTCAAAACTATGCACTTTCAGTTTAAAGAAACATTTCTAAACATGAAAGCAAAAAAATATGAAAATTACTATTTCTTCATAAAAGCATTGTGTAAACCTACGCTTCAAACTTGAAAGAATGAATGAATTACGACAGACTGTATAAAAATATGTCAAACGTCCAAAAAAAAAATATTAAATTAAACAAGTAAACCTTATTTTCTTTTAAATATACACTTGCATACTTTTTTCTATTTAACAAAACGAGCATATACAGATATATGTCTTATTTAGTGGTATGTAACATTGTAAGGGTCTAAAAGTTAACGTTCTGAAAACGTATTGTCATATAATTGCATATAATATAACCCTATCAACATGGTAGCATCGGAAGAGTATGCAATTATTTGTTGCACACCTGCAGTGCGAAATATTTTTTTTAATGCGTTTATTTAAGGTCGCCGCCGGAAAGCCCATATGGGCGACCGTACACTCAAGTCGGGCCATCCTAGAGCGTCCCGTCGAGATTTTTTCGTCGATTTTTTTCCAGCTTTATTGGTGGAGGAAGACCCCCAAGTGCCCCTTCGGGCATTATTTCAGGCACGAGCGGGCACCTGGGTAGAACCACCGACCTTCCGTAAGCCAGCTGGATGGCTTCCTCACATGAAAGATTTCGACCCGTGTGAGGATCGAACCTACAGCGGTGAGGGACCTGTGATCTCAAGTCAGCGACCTTAACCACTCGGCCACTAGAAATGTACGCCAATTTAACCTCGGTACTGAATAGGTCTGTCACAAGTTCAGAAATATATTTTGAAATATGTTATTTACAATCAAATCACTCAGTCATGCTGAGCCACCCTTAACATTTTTTTCCATAACTCTTTAGACTATTGATATATATAAGGTAAAATTATTAGCCATATATGAGCTTATGATTGCATGGGCAGTTAAATTAAAGCCATTAGTAAAAAAAGGGTTGACCTGGGATAACCCAAGTGAAGAGTGAAATATGACACTCAACACCTACAGGTACATTCTAAATATTTAGATTGGTGTTTATGATCAGATTTAGCACAAATAGTAATTTAATTTCCCCTGATACCACAAATATGAATTTATTTAGAGTCCTGAAGATCTTTTTATGATGAAATCTTAACTGAAAAACCAGGTTTAACTGAATAATTATAAAATTCCTTGCCACAATAACTAGAAGGTACATAAAGCCAGTCAAAAAAATATTTCTATCCATATTCATCATTCCTGGACCTCCATCCATTTGATGAATTTCTCCAACTGGTAAATTTTTCATCTTATTATGTTCTGTTTGTTAATATAAAAGAATTTTGTTTATGTTTATATACAGCTAGAATAGTCTGTAATGACTAAGATAGACAGATAAGAACAAACTATTTAGTAAACATGAGTTACATCCCTTCAAATGGAGATAAAGATGAAACCCATAAGAAATTGCCATGTCTGACAGACAGCAAAATTATAAAATTCTGCAGGCTCAGTTTGATTAGGCCCATTAGGAGGTAGTGGTAATAAATGTGGGTCAAAATTTAAATGATATCATTTTCAAGGGATGTTTCTGATATGATTTACTTTTGATAATGGGTCATTATCAATGAATGTTTCTTTGACTTCTATGCCCATGTATAATAGATTATAGACATTGCCAGCTAGATAGCTCAGCTGAGTGAGTCAGTACAGCCCACATACATGTATAATATTCTGATTCAGGTTTGATTCCGTTCAAACTGCACTTATTTGTACCTGATTTAATGGTGGAAGATTTAATAATTAATTAAGGCACCCTATTTGTAACAAATAAACCTACGTTTTGAAGACGTGTGAGGATGTACCCGACTACATTTAAATAAATATATATAATATATACCATCTATTCATTATCTGTAAAACAATGATATTGATGATTAAAAAATGACTGTTCTTCATGGAGACTTGGACGATCTTTTAGCCGCGTTCATGTCGCTGATTTAATGTCCTTAACAGTTATATACAAAGCATTGCAACGAAGCAATAAAAACAATAATCAAGAAAAAATAATGGAAAACATCATATATCCTATATCAAAACTATTATGCAAAAAGTATTTAACCATAACAAGTTATAATTGAAATATCTTACCTTTAAATATTTTTCACCCTGAATATTTAATTCAGACTATTCAAACATCTGAAATCTAGTTCACTGGAAACTCGTTTTAAACCACAAGTTAACGATGCATAGACGAGGTCGGGTACGTAGTTTTAATGAAGTAATTATGTAGTATCAGCATATTGAATGACATGTCTTTTATGTGACTTTCCTAAACAGAACGGGTACACTGAACAATTAAACTTTGAAAAATACGTTGTCGAATTCATCGCTTCAGTGCATGTTATCACCATTATGTAAGACAATTATGTACGAGTATTCTCTGTTGAAAAGTTTATACAGAACAGGAAGATAATACATATTTTATATAAAAATAACAATTAAGTAAAACTTTAATTGTCACACTTTATTTATAATTCGTTTATGTAAAACAGCAATGAAATTAAATATGCAATGTCTCCCTGATTTCAGTTTCCCATTCAGGTAAACATAAATCTAATTGGTCTTTTTAATTACATTCACCCACATGATAAATGAAGTAAGAAATTGTATTCGCCCGACTTGACAAAATTTTGTTTATTGTTAATTTTGTTAGATTGCTTTAATGCTATGTATTCAAATTAGTTCATAAAGTCGTTTTATCATAATTGCAACTAAACAATATCTTTTTTAAAAGTAACTCTTCTATAACGGTATAAAAATACATGCAATAAAATTACCATTTTACATAGAATACTTTAATAAACAGTTATGCAATACTGATTCCGTCTGTTAGTTATCTTGTACATCATGTAATTCATTCATCGATACGGGTGACAAATCACAAGTTTCACAGAAGTTTTTTTTCAAATATATATATGATTTTATCATTGATACTGCCGAATATTTGTACTCACAGAAGATTTCTTTAAATAATATTACACAAGAAGAAACATAACTTGTTTGTACCTGATTAATGGTGGAAGATTTAATCAATAATTAAGGCACTCTATTTGTAACAAATAAAACTGAGTTTTGAAGAAATGTGAGGATGTATCCGACTACATTTATATATACCATCTATTCATTCTCTGTAAAACAATGATATTGATAATTAAAAAATGACTGTTCTTCATGAAGACTTGTCGCGTCTATATCGCTGATTTAATGTCCTTAACAGTTATATACAAAGCATTGCAACGAAACAATAAAAACAATAATCAAGAAAAAAAAAATAATGGAAACAATCATATATCCTATATCAAAACTATTATGCAACAAATATTTAATCATAACAAATTATATTTGAAATATCTTACCTATGAATAATTTCACCCTCAATTTTGAATTCAGACTATTCAAACATCTGAAATCTAGTTCACTTGAAACTAGTGTTAAACCATAAGTTAACGATGCAAGACGAGGTCGGGTAGCTTTTATGAAGTAATTATGTAGCAACAAAACGAAATAAAATTTCAGCATATTAAATGACGTCTTTTATGTGACTTTCATATTAAACAGAATGGGTACATTGAACAATTAAACTTTGAAAAATACGTTGTCGAATTCATCGCTTCAGTGCATGTTATCACCATTATGTAAGACAATAATGTACGAGTATTCTCTGCTGAAAAGTTTATACAGAACAGGAAGATAATACATATTTTATATAAAAATAACAATTAAGTAAAACTTTTATGGTCACACTTTATTTATAATTCGTTTATGTACATGATGTAAATCAGTAATGAAATGAAAAATGCAATGTCTCCCTGATTTAAGTTTCCTATTCAGGTAAACATAAATCTAATGGGTATTTTTATTTACATTCACCCACATGTTAATGAAGTAAGAAATTGAATTCGCCCGACTTGACAAAATTTTGTTCATTGTTTATTTTGTTAGATTGCTTTAATGTGATGTATTTAAATTAGTTCACAAAGTCGTTTTACCATAATTGCAACTAAACAATATCTTTTTTTAAAAGTAACTCTTCTATAACGGTATAAAAATACATACAATAAAATTACCCTTTTACATAGAATACTTTAATGAATGTCATGAATATTTCTAAAATATATTTATGTTAGCAAATAAATTTATGAAACAAACTCATTTGCTTTGAAATGAAATCACAAATTTAAAAGTCGCGAAAATACTCTACAATCTACAATCTCCTGAGGTGATATTTAGGGAACATTTTAAGCTATAAAATAAAACTGTTTAAATCTAAATATCTTGGCTAATTGCAAGAAAACATAGCTCCTGGTTTAGTGTTCATTTTGTTCACCGAGGATTGTGAGCAATAAATGGAATTGTGATTATTGATTAGTCTTTTATTTTCAGGTAAATTGAGGTAAATTAGTGCTACGAATTACATGTACAGTGTAAGTGTTCTGATTTTTTTTCGGAAAGAGAAACCTAACCCCCATCCCGCCACCGGGTGAAGTAGAATCTGATAGTTTGTCTGTTGAATCAGGCGTACTGTGGCACATCTTGTTTTCTTTTTGTATTTTCTTCCATATGAAAATAATATAAAACTTCATGCCAGTAGTTTATAAGAAAAACTACTGATTTGTACAGCTAGGTTAACAAATTTTGTTTAAAAAAAATCAGACAGGTGTGTTCAACCGAGGCCGAGATGTTTACAAATCACTTGCACTGAACTGCTGTGAATTTGAAAAGCACCAGGGACTTTTGATTCTTTCGTGTGGAAAACCTATCTAGCTAGTTTTAAATTGTCGATGGTTCTCTGCAGGCGCAACTTTTTGCCTGAAATAATGCACAAAGGCGCACCTGAGGTCCTTACCACAAAAAAGCTAAAGTGTAGAGTGAAAGTTTGAAAAATACCACAAAAAAGCAATAATTACCTAGAACATTCAGACCACAGTTTACTAAGAGAGTAGCTATCCAAAATGAATTTTGTGATTCAAGTTCATAGACTTCTATATTATTTTTGCAAAAAATAGGGATAATATTCAACATACAGGAAAATATAAGATATTATTTCAGATATTATGATAAATTAGTTTCATGTCAAACAAATAAAGCTAATCGAAACGACGCGATTCTCAACAATGGTGTACTGTCAGTTGCATCCTGAATATCAACTTTCCTGATGTCATGAAATTCTAATATTACACATATTTCAGACTACCGGGTATTCTAATTGTAAGAATAAACGATGGGCAAGACCATCAAAATCTTAACAAGAGCCATGTTAACATGGCCATCCCCCGCCGAGTGTGTTTGCTCATTTGAATATTGTATATATGTAGTAGAGTAGAATAATTCAAATTTAAGAGGTCTTTTGGTAATAAAAACTGATGTCTGAAGTGATTACAGATTTCAAACGTATGTGAATACTGATCGCTGAAGTGATTACAGATTTGATACCTATGTGAGTACCAATTCCCTTATTTTCAGATCTCAAAGTCAAATGTTAAGGTTATTGTGAGCCCTTTATCATATAGAGTTTTTCAGGCAAAAAATAAGTATGAAAAATAACAAAGGTCAATTACTAAAAAATTATGATGGGTAGAGTTATTATTTTTGTGCACTGCACACCTCCTGAGAGAGATCTATCCACCTATGAAGTTTCATGTTGATATATCAAAGGCTTTTTAGTTATGCTCTGGATAAAATTAAGTATGAAAAATAACAAAGGGCAATAATTGAAAAATAATGCAGGGTAGGTTATCATTCTTGTGTGCTGCACCCCTCTTCAATGAAATGTAATATCCACCTATGAAGTTTCAAGTTGATACACTTTTTTAGATAAGCTCCGGACAAAATGTATGAAAAATAACAAAGGGCAATAACTAAAAAGATATGCAGGGTAGAGTTATCATTCTTGCCCACAGCATTACTCCTCAATAAGATCTATCCACAAGTATCATGTTGACATCTCCCAGATTTTTTAAGTTATGCTCCACTATATTAAATTATGAACAGGCTTACTTTATACAAATGCGACAACAGAGGTTCGTCCCACAAGTTATTTAGGACATGTGAAAACGATGATGTTAACGAAATTACTAAGTAAAGTTGAACTACGGATCTTAACTATATTATATAGCACACTATTTACTTATCAAACAGAAAAGGTAGTCAATTGCATTATTACACGATATATGCACAGCACAAAAACGCCATATGACGTCAAATATGATTTCAATAAACCAAATCACCTAAGGCAAATTACTTCTTTGCTATATTTTTATCAATTCTATTTTTCATAAGCATGTTAAAATGGAAATAGATATTAATATTTCTTGCATTGTAGTATAATAATGCGCGGTTTATCGTTCAAATGCTTTAGGCCGAAATGCCATCGTGATTATATTCCTGCGCATTTGAACTCTAACAGTGCATCATTCCACAATTGGGTTATATATCTTAAATATAGATATGTGGTTAAACTTGTTATTATTATAAATTTGTTGAATTGATTTGATAAACATCAAAAATGTACGGGTTTATATCACATTCGCGGCGGATTAAGAATGGTGTATTTACAATATAACAGTATATATGAAGTGATTTTAGTTTATACCCAAGTGTAAGATGAACCAGGAACAAGGAAAATGTGACAAACAGTTTAACATAGATATGTTTATAAAATTATCGGAATGCAATTTTTTATTCATTATTTTTAACATTTTGTTAAAACTTGGTTAGATGTCTATCAGGAAGAACAAGTTATATTTTAATACATCATTACGTTTTAAATAATAACTTTATGTGAAAATGAGAGCTTTTAACTTCAATCACTTTCATTGCCTAGTAAAAGAGTTTAAGCCTCTAACTCATGCGGATCTGAACTCGAATATCACGTATTCCATAGATAACGACAATGCGACAGTATAAAGACATGATAGTACGACAATCCGACAATATGAAGACATGATAGTACGACAATGCGACAGTATGAAGATATGATAGTACGACAATGCGACAGTATAAAGACATGATAGTACGACAATGCGACAGTATGAAGCCATGATAGTATGACAATGCGACATTATGAAGACACGATAGTACGACAATGCAACAGTACAAAGACATGATAGTACGACAATGCGACAGTTTGAAGATATGATAGTACGACAATGCGACATTATGAAGATATGATAGTACGACAATGCGACAGTATAAAGACATGATAGTACGACAATGCGATAGTATTAAGACATGATAGTATGACAATGCGACAGTATGAAGATAAGATAGTATGACAATGCGACAGTATGAAGATAAGATAGTATGACAATGCGACATTATGAAGACACGATAGTACGACAATGCAACAGTATGAAGACATGATAGTACGAAAATGCGACAGTGTGAAGATATAATAGTACGACAATGCGATAGTATTAAGACATGATAGTATGACAATGCGACAGTGTGAAGATATAATAGTACGACAATGTGATAGTATTAAGACATGATAGTACGACAATGCGGCAGTATGAAGATAAGATAGTATGACAATGCGACAGTTTGAAGACATGATAATACGACAATGCAACAGTATAAAGACATGATAATACGACAATGCGATAGTATGAAGACACGATAGTATGACAATCTGACAGATTGAAAACATGATAATATGACAATGCGACAGGATGAAGACATGATAGTACGACAATGCGATAGTATGAAGACATAATAGTTCGACAATGCAATAGTATGAAGACATAATAGTACGACAATGCGATAGTATGAAGACACGATAGTACGACAATGCGATAGTATGAAGACATGATAGTACGACAATGCGACAATTTTGCATTATGTCAAAATTTATTTAAAACTTGGTGCATTTTTGGGTAACTTACTTATAATGTAAATAGTTATGTTATTTCATCAGCTTACTTAATGTCTGTATAATTTATATCGGTAGGATATTTGCTTATATTCCCATCACGAAACTTCTACGCTGGCAGAATTTCTTCGAGTTGTGTGATGAGACCACTAAAGCACGTTTAACATACTAGTACTTTGAATATACCATCCCAAAAGTCCAGAACACTGCCGTTCAGATTTTGTTTTCCTACATTTTATCCGACTTTTATGATTTAATCAACATAACTGGAATAAGATGTAAGTGTATTTTCAGGTTTTTCAGGCTTTTTGACCTCAGTGGAGTTCCTTTAAAATGCATTAAAAGCAAACGTTTATTTTTCCCCTCTGTATATTTCTTAATTTCCCTGTGCATAGTTTGCTGTTTTAAATGTCCCAGCTGATCTATTTGAGAAATTCAAATTCTGAATTTCAGGCTTTTTGACCTCAGTGGAGTTCCTTAAAAATGCACCAGAAGTTTTTCCACTCTGTTAGTTTTTTTACTGTCACAGGTTGACAGCGATGGAGAAGACATACAACTGAATACAGAACAACCCAACAACTCAATATAAAACTTATAATTTTATTTACAAGGAAATGAAATGCAGGTTTTCTTATGGTTATAATATAAACTACGAAGATATATTA